TTTGATCGCGAATACTATCAAAACATTTGGCAAATTAGATGTTTTGGTGAATAACGCCGGCATATACCCGGACACAAACATTACACAAAAAGATTTATTACAAGTTTGGGATCAGGTCTTCAACATAGACTTGAGAGCAGTCGTCGAACTGATCCACGAATCGGTTCCATATCTGGAGAAGACTAACGGCACTATCATTGATATCTCGAGTATTGCGGGAATAGCACCGGTATATAACACGCTATTCAATAAATTGAATACAGTGATTATATTACATTTATTAATTAAATTTATATTAATATACTCCAGTTGTCCACCAAATTAGCGTACAGTCCCGCAAAAACAGCCTTAGATATGTTGACTCGAGTACTAGCTCTCGAATTGGGACCCAAAGGCATTCGTGTCAACACTTTGAAGTAATTATAATCCAAACTTTTCTTATAAGAATTTATATAAGGTTTCATATACTAGTAATTATAGTAAGATTTATTTCCAAAATGAAATCATTATTTTTGAGTTTGAATTACTTTCTACTAGAATAAGAAATAAATCTTTGCTTATAAAGTACTGTATATGTCATATACTGTATGATAACAATGTTAAATAATTTCAGTCCCGGTGCCACTCAAGTGGACAAAGCTAATAGTCCAGTTGACAAAATAACGCCATTAGGACGTATTGGACAACCATTAGATATCGCCAAAGGGGTGGCATTCCTGGCCTCAAGTGATGCCTCATTCATAACCGGAGCTAATCTGGTGGTCGACGGCGGACTCGTCTATAATTTTGGTGCTTTCAATATGGATGCTTTGTAAATCTACTGTATTTGTTTATTCAACATTTACACAAATTATTAAAAATTTAATAAAATTATATTGAATTGTATAAAACAAAAAAAAATTCAAATATTTCTATAATTTCAAAAAATAAAGTTTTTTTGTGAGAAAATAAACACATTGATTATGATTAAAAAAATTATGGTACGGGCAATATCCACTTTATGAATATGGCACATATAGTAGATTAAGATAAATAAAATAAAAAGGTATAAAATAAGAAATATATTAATTAGTTAATAATAATTGCAAAACAGATTATAAAAATGAAAATCCTATTATTCATAGCATTGGTGTCTATAGTGAGCGCACAGTTTGACGATTTTGATATCAATGACTATAAAGATGTGGTTAATTCACGAAACTTTACGGGAAAAGTAGTTTTGGTGACCGGTTCCAGCTCTGGCATCGGGGAGGGGATCGTCAAACTGTTCTCTATATTAGGAGCCAATGTTGTGGTCACCGGTAGGAAAGCCGATGACGTCCAGAGAGTTGGCAAAGAAGTGCAAGAATTGTCACCAAAGAAACTAAAGGTTAGACTAAATCACTAAAATTTAATATTTAAAAATTGTAACTTTTAATTGAATTGAATTATAATGAATAGCCATTAGAAGTGGTCGGAGATCTCACCAAAACTGAAGTCATCACCACTTTGATCGCGAATACTATCAAAACATTTGGCAAATTAGATGTTTTGGTGAATAACGCCGGCATATACCCGGACACAAACATTACACAAAAAGACTTATTACAAGTTTGGGATCAGGTCTTCAACATAGACTTGAGAGCAGTCGTCGAACTGATCCACGAATCGGTTCCATACCTAGAGAAGACTAACGGCACTATCATTGATATCTCGAGTATTTTGGGAATAGCACCGGTATATAACACGCTATTCAATAAATTTATTAATATAACATTAATATAGTATTTATATTGCATTTATTAATTAAATTAATATATTCCAGTTGTCAACCAAATTAACATACAGTCCGGTCAAAGCAGCCTTAGATATGTTGACTCGAGTACTGGCCCTCGAATTGGGATCCAAAGGGATTCGTGTTAACACTTTGAAGTAATTATAATTCAAAGTTTTCTTATAAAAATGTACATATACTTAATATGACAGTTTCTTATAATAGTAATCATTATAAGTTTCTGATGAGATTTATTTGCAAAATAATTATATATTTTTGAGTTTGGATTACTTTCTACTAAAATAAGAAATAAATTATTGCTTATACTGTAAAACATATGATAGCTATGTTAAATAATTTCAGTCCCGGTACAATTCAAGTGACAAAAACAATTGATCCAGAATATGCTAAGATAACACCATTGAGTCGTGCGGGACAACCATTAGATATCGCCAAAGGAGTGGTATTCCTGGCCTCAAGTGATGCCTCATTCATAACCGGTGCTAATCTGGTGGTCGACGGCGGACTTGTCTATAATGCCGGCGCTCTTAAAGTTTAGGTTATGAGTGCTTTGAAAATATTAATTAATTATTAATTTAAATTATTATTAGTTTTTAAAAATATACTAAAAATAAACCTTTCATCAAATATGGTTTTATAATTATTGTTTGAAATATCCATATAAAATAATAATAATTGTACTAGTATAAGTGTTTGGGAACTTGTTAAAATAAATGTTATAAGTACTATATCGTATCTATTAACTCTTAATTTAAATAAAAATAAAAGCATATTTTATGGGAAACAAACACATTTATGGCGATTACATGTATTGAAAGTATGATAATACTTTGTCACTTAAAACAGTATTAGCAGTAAAGAAAATAATTTAATTTCTAATACTGTATTATAAAAATAATATAAAAGGCATGAAAGGAGACAATTATATTATAAATAAGTTTCTATTCATTGGAAAATAATTTATAAAAATGAAACTTATTGTGGCATTAGCATTGTTGTCAATAGCGAGCGCACAGTTTAATGATTTTGATATCAAAGACTATAAAGATGTGGTAAATTCACGAAACTTTACGGGAAAAGTAATTTTGGTGACCGGTTCCAACTCTGGCATCGGGGAGGGTATTGTCAAACTGTTCTCCATATTGGGAGCCAATGTTGTGGTCACCGGTAGGAAAGCTGATGACGTCCAGAGAGTTGGTAAAGAAGTTCAAGAATTATCGCCAAAGAAACTAAAGGTTTGTATAAATACTGTAAATATTCTTAAGAATTATACTATAAGATTGAATGCAATTATAATGAATAGCCGTTAGAAGTGGTCGGAGATCTCACCAAAACTGATGTCATCAAACTATTGGTCGAAAGTACAGTCAAAACCTTTGGAAAAATAGATATATTGGTGAATAACGCAGGAATATATCCATTGACTAATATCACACAAAAGGGTTTAATGCAAGCATGGGATCAGATCTTCAACATAGACTTAAGAGCTGTTGTGGAGCTAATCCATGAGTCGGTTTCATATCTGGAGAAAACTAATGGAACTATCATTAATATATCGAGTATTTTTGGGATGCAACCGGTATATAAGACTATCAGTTTAATTTATTATTAAAAATAATATTTTATTATATTTCATTTAATTATACAAATAAACAGTTGTCTCAAGAGTTAGCCTACGCTCCCGCAAAGGCCGGCTTAGATATGTTGACTCGCGTACTGGCCCTCGAATTGGGACCCAAAGGCATTCGTGTCAACACTTTGAAGTAAATTATTATCAATTTTTAAATAGAAAATCTTGTATTAAGTATAATAATGTGAATTATTAAAAAATTGTAGTCCCGGCGCCACTCAAGTGGATAAAACTGGTGATCCAGGAGTTGACAAAATAACGCCATTGAGACGAGAGGGACAACCATTAGATATGGCGAAAGGGGTGGCATTCCTGGGCTCAAGTGATGCCTCATTCATAACCGGTGCTAACCTTGTGGTCGACGGCGGACTCGTCTATAATATGGGAGCTCTTGGGATGTGAAAAGTTTAAAAAACAAGAATTTATATTATAATTATGATTAAAAAGTAGAATAATTGGCTTTAGATTAAGTTTCTATGATTTTTAAAATAATATTTTATCACTGTATTATTTTAGTTACAATAATTCATATTTAATATTTTAAATTGTATAATTATAATTGCATAAACCAATGGATTTAAATTATCGATATTTGAAATAAATATCAAATATTGTGAAACTGATGATTACCGGTAATCATTTTTAAAAATAAAAGTTTTTGTGAGAAAATAAACACATTAATTATGATTAAAATTTTTTATGGTACGGGCATTATCCACTTTATGAATATGGCACATATAGTAGATTAAGATAAATAAAATAAAAAGGTATAAAATAAGAAATATATTAATTAGTTAATAATAATTCCAAAACAGATTATAAAAATGAAAATCCTATTATTCATAGCATTGGTGTCTATAGTGAGCGCACAGTTTGACGATTTTGATATCGAAGACTATAAAGATGTGGTCAATTCACGAAACTTTACGGGAAAAGTAGTTTTGGTGACCGGTTCCAGCTCTGGCATCGGGGAGGGGATCGTCAAACTGTTCTCTATATTAGGAGCCAATGTTGTGGTCACCGGTAGGAAAGATACAGAAGTCCAGAAAGTAGCCAAAGAAGTGGAGGAATTGTCACCAAAGAAACTAAAGGTTTATTCAATAATAGTTTGTATAAATTATTAATATTAAATACATTTTCATTAATAGCCGTTACAATTGGTCGGAGATCTCACCAAAAGTGAAGTCATCACCACTTTAATCGCAAACACTATCAAAACTTTTGGCAAATTAGATGTTTTGGTGAATAACGCCGGCATTTATCCCGTGACAGAGATTCATCAAAAAGATTTATTACAAGTTTGGGATCAGGTCTTCAACATAGACTTGAGAGCAGTCGTGGAACTGATCCACGAATCGGTTCCACATTTGGAGAAAACTAACGGCACTATCATTGAAATCTCGAGTATCGCTGGCATTCAACCCGTAATATATTGATTGAAATATTTATAAGAATTTGATAATTATTATTATTTTATATGCTCAAAACTATACAAAACTGTTTGTACACTACAGATATCGACTTCACTGGCATACTGTCCCGCAAAAGCCGGCTTAGATATGTTGACTCGAGTACTGGCCCTCGAATTGGGACCCAAAGGCATTCGTGTCAACACTTTGAAGTAAGTTTGAGTTTAAATAGAAACTAATAGAAAATAGTCACTAAATATACTCAATACTTAATTTGCATTTTATTATAAATATTGTTTTAATTGATTGTGTTTTGTTATATCAATTTCTACAAAGTCTGTGAATTTAGTTGAAAAGATTAGTATGCTTGACATTTAAAAATTATTTTTAATTCAGAAATTAGTTTAGTTTTTATAACTATTAGATTTCAAACTAACTTTCTTATAATTATTTATTTGCGCTTAGTTTCCTGTATTTTTAGTTTCCTAATTATTAAGCAAGAACAGTTGCTTATTTTCTCAAAGTATAGAATATATCGTATAGTTTATTTAATACGGTATATTATATTTACAGTATAGTGGTAAACAATTATACTGATGATAATTATCTATTCGTAGTCCTGGTGTTACTAATGTAGCAAAAGTGGACTCCGATAGGACTATAGACGATATCATACCATTGCATAGAGTGGGACAACCATTAGATATCGCCAAAGGGGTGGCATTCCTGGCCTCAAGTGATGCCTCATTTATAACCGGCGCTAATCTGGTGGTCGACGGCGGACTCGTCTACAATTTGGGCGCACTTTTTGGTTAACCAACTATTCAATGAAATGTTAATAAAAATACTATAAATAAGAACTAATAAATAATTTTTAAATCATTGAAATTATGAATTCAATTACAAATTATAAATGTCACTAAATGTCTGCAACAATAATTTAAGAATAACCAGTACAGTAAGTACCAATGCAAATTAAGTACTGATTATCAAAATATTGTTCATATATAAAATTTACTGATTGTTACAATAACTAGTATGCGATTATGTACAGTATTAATTAATTATAAAAAGTAAAATACAATAGAAAAGGTGAATTACCGGTAATGTCTAACAATTATAACAATCAATCCGTCTAACAGGATTCATAAGAAAATCAAACTATAATTGATAAATACCTGTGTTTATGAGAACCTAAACACATTGTCCACAATTACTACATGTACTGTATATAACAAACCATAAATTGTATAAAACATTTAATCAAACAAATGTAGTGAAAAGCAGTCAAAAGTACCATTAGAAATGAAATGCATATTATTGTTAGCATTGCTGTCAACAGTTAGGGCAAACTTTGGTGACTTCGATGTCGATGACTATAAGCAAGTAACAAAGTCTCGTAATTTCACGGGCAAAGTGGTGGTGGTGACCGGATCCAGTGAGGGCATCGGACACAGTATTATAGCCCTGTTCTCCATACTAGGAGCTCATGTAGTCGTCACCGGTAGGAACGAGACAGTGGTTAAGGCTGTGGCCAAAGAGATGCAACACTTATCGCCATATCATCTGAAGGTATACTTCGGGCACTCATTCACACGAATGTCATAATTGAATGCCGTTTTGATAGCCGTTGGAGTTTGTCATGAATTTTGCCGAAAGCGAACACATCCAGGAACTGGTGGTCAATACCACCGACACCTTTGGGAAGATTGATGTGTTGGTGAATGCGGTGGACATCAGCACTGCTACGGACATCACCAGCAGAAACCTGTTGAAGGTTTGGGACATTATTTTTAACGTCAACTTAAGGGCAGTCGTAGAACTCATTCACTACTCGGTTCCACACCTCATGAAGACTAACGGGACAGTCATTAACGTGTCCAGCATTGGCGGCATCGCACCGGTAGCTTATTTAACCAGTTATTCTGTGTATGAATTTGTTATTACCTAATATTGTGTACAAAGATCGCCCCATACCTGGCCTATGCACCGGCAGAATCGGCACTGGATATGATGACCCGGGTATTGGCTCTCGAGTTGGGACCCAAAGGCATACGAATTAACACAATTTCGTGAGTATTTTATTTCATTAATGATTAACTGATTCACGATTCACACCATATGTACGATATATAACAGTAAAGGTGTGACACTATTGACCGATAACGATGTGGAGAGGTTACTATAGATGCTAATAGACTTTTCATATTGAGGTAACTCTTTTAACCCAGTTGGCAACCTGAATCGCTTTCCCCACCGTAAGGACCGGAGTTCACTACGGAGTAAGTATTGCCCGCGCAATTTGGTGGTCGACGGCGGACTCGTCTATAATTATGCGGCTATTCTTAGGCCCCATAACTAGACATTCAATTAAATATTTCATTGATTTTCAATTCATTTAATCATTCAATACATTAACAAAACATGGATTTAATTATTTGAGTAATAGATTGGTTGAACCAATAGATACTGAACTTGTGACTCAATACTTCGAAATATTGAGAAATTAAAATAGAATTATGTGCTAGGTACACGTTCATATATAATCAAGTTGAACCCACAGACCACGTCAAGTTTAGCATTTATTTCAGTTTTTAAATCTGCTATTAATATGCGATTATTAATATCATAGTCTATGATTCACAGAGTATTACTGCATTCTCTAATCATTAGAGTCTAATGGAACTTGCTCAGATATAAGTTACTACTAAATGNAATCATTAGAGTCTAATGGAACTTGCTCAGATATAAGTTACTACTAAATGTCAATCACTTCCCCATCCCCTCAATTCCCAAACAATTGTAGACAAATTGAACACCAGTTCCCTACCGGCTGTTCATAACCGATGGCCAATGGGTCCATACAATGGCAACTCATTTGCCTCAAGATCTAAATCTTCGATACAATTGTATCCATAAATCAAATCAACACTAGTTTTCATTGAAATAAATACTTTTTATTATTGAGATTAACATTCATTATATAAATTAATTATCTTTAATATGACATCATTTACAGCTTATACGTCACTTGTGTCCCCTTCTTAGCCTAAAAGCACACAAAAAGCACTTCAAATCAATACCACTACTCATGAGTAGACATTTGAATACCTTTTTGCGCCTTAAGACCACTTCGACGTGCGTTTGCGATGGGATCAGAGTCTGGTCCGAGTCGTAGGCTGTGGTGAGACAAAGACACGTGAGAACCAGTGATCATATGATGGACACAATGGCATAAGCGATGGCTCGACACATACTGCTTCCGGTCTTCGGGTCGTTGATCACAATCGCGATGTGCTTTGGATTGTCAATGGATTGGCGGATATTCCTCTTGAGCTCAGCCACCGATATGGCCATACCATCGAAGTCGACGGTTCGCACGTCCGCTTTGGTGCGGAACTGATAGGTGACAGACATTTGGTGCGGAAGACAGCGCTGATGACCACAAGTGTCGCCAACTCTTCGCTCAAAAGCAATGGATTTTTTGGTGCAAAAAGTTTGCTTCAAATCAATGCA